GCATGTGGCATATAAGCTTTTTTCTATATTTTTCTCCACTTTTGATGCTTAAGTGACCTAATTTTATTATGGACCCAAATTTATACCTGAAATTTTAATTAAAGACGCTCATTAGTCTTCTCTAACCACACACCACATAAATCAAACTTGATTACCCTCATTTACCCAGCTAATTCGGGGTTAAATTTTCTCAAATGCTACATGCTTGGCCTTTCAAGTTTACATTTCTTCTGATAAAAGTGCTCAAGTCTCAAGAACATTAGATATGGTAATTAGATGCAACATTAGTTACTCTCCTCTTGTTAGGAAAAAAAAAAGGTTAACGAACATCTTAAATCCTAAACTATTGAGTGAATAGTATTCTGAATCTTAAATTCTTGAAATGTGCAAAAACTCTCTTCAACTTCTAAATCTTGAGCATTTGAAATCTTCCCATTAAGTTGGAGAAAACGACTATCATTTTTAAGGGTCAAGATGAGTGTCACGTCAACATGTGATTGAGCTTCACAACTACAAAAGTAATAGCTATTTTCTCTAAATTAACAGTGAGGTTTTAGATGCTCAAAATTTAGAAGTTGATAGGAATTTTTGTCTATTTCAAGAGTTTAGGGTGTAAAATACTATTCACAAAATAGTTTAGAGTTGAAAATATTCATTAACACAAAAAGAAAATAACTACGAGAATTTTTTTTAAATTTTTTTAAAAAATGTCATTTTGGTTGCTGACCAAAAAATTAAAATCAAATAAATAACTTGCATTCATGAAAGACATTATCTTTTTTTCAAAAGTCTCAGTATAACATGACTCTTAAAAAAAATTAAAATATCATACATTTATAAAAAAATTCTTAACATTTTTGTCCTTTAATTCTATATACCATGCATACTAGCAATCTTAGTTAAGCATAATCATGAAACCACCTTTGCAAAGTATAAGGGCTTGTTTGGAAATATATTATGGAAATAGTTTTTTGTTCTTCAAGACAAAAGAATAAAAAAATTTATTTAGTAATGTATTTTTAAAAAATATTTTAGAAATAAAAAAATAAAATATTATTCTGAAGAATAGAAAAATAAAAATAACTTTTAAGTATTTTGAGATTATTGTTCTGAAAATTAAAGGATAATAAAAAAAACACATTTTTATTAGTATTTTTTTATTTTTAAAATATATCCTATAAGCTATTAATTTTTAAAATAATAAAATAAAAATAATTTCAAACATTGCCAAGCTATCTTGAGTTACGTTCGGTTATTGGACTCATGGATTGGATTGATTTTCCTTCTTGGTAATTTTTTTTTTTTTTTTTTGAGGGCGGGGGGCATTGTTGTCGCAATGATTAGGTTTTTGTCACGGTCTATCCACGTGATATGTTTCAAACGCCACAACTTTTAATTTGTTTCCATATGTATTCATTTAATCATTCTGGATGGCAATAAGAAAATAAAAAGGGGATAATTTAATAGCCGTTGATCTTGGTTGAACAGCTAAAAACCCTTTTTCTTCTGCTTTTACCTTTTGGGTTAGGAAATAGGAATTATTGATACCTTCTTTCCAAATTCCTTTTAGCTCAAGTTTTTTGTTTTTTAATTTTCCCAAACAGGTCAAGTCACAATCTACATGACATGTTTGGCAACAGGCTATAGAGAATCTACTTTATTCTCTACATAGAGTAAATTCTGATATTTTTCACCTTATATATGGTCCTTGTCCCGGCTTCCAGGGTTATGAGAATTGACTTTTTTCACCGACAAAAATTGATACAATTCTTAAATATTTAGTTTATAAGGTATAAAGTTATGAATTTAAATCAATATAGGAAAAAAGAATTATATACCTCACTTTATGTGTTCAAAATATTTGTTTCACATCAAATTAAAATGTGTGTGTTTTTTATAAATTATTTATTCTATAAAATTTTTTATTGATACTGTTATGATTAATAATTAAAAAATTTCTTATTTTATTTAATTAAATAAAAAGACATTAAACATATAAGATGGAGTATATAAATCTTTTCCTATCAATATTCCTATTGTTTTTTTTTTTTGAAAGAGCGCGGTATGGCATAGGCAAAGGACAGGACTTCAACCACTCATGAAATTAAAAAAAAAAATGTAAGTTGATTTCCAGGTTTTATCAATATTTAAATATAGACACCATAATTTTTCGTTCAACTTATTAGCTCATAAAAAAATGATGTCTTGCAAAAGATAAATTTGTGATTTTTATTTCAAGACTGTAAATGCTATAATTTAGATAGTAACTCTACTTATAATATCACAGTACAAGTAAAAAGTAATTAATGAAACAATAATTAACCTTATTGAGCATCTAATTTTTAAAATGAAAAGCATCAAACACATTATTCCATCCAGAAAAAAATGAGAATAATTTAATTTTCCAAGAAAAAAAACTTATTGAAATTGTATAACAATAATTGGCCACCCTAGGGGAATAGTTGCCAAATTCTTAAAATGAGAAGTGAATATATTAATAAAATTTGAGATTCTCATAGTGGAAGAGTAAATAAATTGAGAGTTGAGGCAAGGAAGCAAGAGTTGGTGGGAATAATTAAAAGCGTCAGCAGTTTTGTGTTATATTCTTCAATGAAAACAATAAATAAAAACCACAAAATCATGTGAACTCACTGTGTTTCCGACTTGCACACATTATGACATGAATTAATAAATAGGTCACACTGTTCTTGGCCTTTTAAGTTTATAGCATTGTCAAAGCTGGGTACAATAAGGATCAATTATTCAATTACTATATATATATATATATATATATGTATATATATATAGTTCTGAATAATATTTGTGTAGGTTACTAAATAATTGACCATTTGCTAAAATTTGCTGTTGGTGTAGTCCTTATTATCAATGTGTTTGTTTAATGGAAATTTTAAATATGATTATATGCAGGTAATATATATATATATATATATATATATATATGAGATTAACGATGACATTGTTAAACTCAGGATTACATAAAATTGGCAGATTCAAAATATCTTTGCATATGATTTGTTAAATCTGGCTTATCAAACCAGCCCATTACTTGTGCAACATTGCATGGTTTCAATTTTAATCAAATCCATCCATTATACTATAACAATAAAAAAAAATTACAGCCTATTATAAGTCAAATACGACAGGTCATGTTACTGTTGAGTTCTCACTAACCAAATTAAACAAACCCATCCATCAAATAAAAAAATCTGTATGATTAATCTTATGTACTTATATTACTTATTTTTAATTGAAACAAAATATATCAACCTTGTCTATATTATTTATTTTAAAATTCACTTGTTCTAATTTAATTGGACAAAAATATTAAAAACGCATAAAATTAAGTATATAACTTCTTAATCAAATAGACTTCCTATAAAATTTATCTAATACTATTTCTGGTCTCAAATATAAGAAACAAATAATTACCGATATTCTTTTTAAATGCCACAGATTAATTCCCCCAACAAATATCCTAAATTTCTTATTTACATTTCTACCTTATATTTAATAATTAATCCCAATTTAATAAAAGATATAATTATTAATGCACCAAACAAACTCTTTATTTCTTATAATATGGATGCAGGCATGTCCTCAAAAAATTTTTTCTATTCAATATTCTACAAGTCATGGCCGTGGAAGGAATCTTAGGATCTAAAGCAAAATATTTAAGAAGCTTAGTATACTACTCCCTTACACCTTTATTATCGAACATTTTTTAGAGAGACTTTGATCTTTAACATAAAACACATGGAAGGTCATATATTATTATTTTTAATTTTATTCCTATTATAAATTTAATTGTATGGCTCATCAAATGTTGTATTCTGTGTATCTCTTTTCCTATTTTAAATAGGAATAAAGTTGATTTTTTTTTTCATTTTAAGACATATTAAATAAGTTAATTGTCATTTTTTAATGTCAGTGAAGTAGTTGCAATTGACTTATAATAGGGATTGAAAAAGTATTATTTATGGATAATTTTAGTTAAGGATCATTGTAGGAACTTAATTACTGGTGGGTCCAAAAAAAATTTAAAATTTTAGTTCAATTTAAGGGAAAAAAGTCGAACTAATTTCAATAGTGAAAAGATTAAAATATCCTTCACTTATTATGTAGAATTATTAATGGTTAATTTTTTTTATTAATTTATCAATATCACTTATAAATTATATCTGTTTGTCAAATAATCAATAATATTAGTTGTTAATTTGTTAAATTTTCTAATATCAGTTGTAAATTATAAAACTTGTCAATAATTTACAACTGATATTAGCAAATTAACAAGAAAAATTAGTAATTTAATAACTGATGTTACTGCTTATAATTAAACAACTGATGTCAAGTTTTATATAATTATTGACATATTAACTCATATAATTTGCAACTCATACTAGTAAATTAACAAGTAGAATAAAAAAATTTAACAACTAATAATTCTACATAATAAAAGAAGGGTATTTTGATCTTTTTATTGTTGAAATTAGTTTAATTTTTCTCCCCTCAACTAAATTGAAAATTCAAATTTTTTATGAATCCATCGATAATTAAAGTCTCTTTCGTGATTTTTAACTAAAATTTTCCTTATTACTTATCTGTCTTCATCTCACTTTTTTTAATGATTGGCTGTATAGGATATAAGAAAGTAATAAATTTTAAATAAAAATATATAATTATCATTAATGCTTAATATAAAAAATAATGATTGATTATATAGAATATAAGTAAATATTTTTTAAAATCTTAAGACCACAGTCTTAGTTCTAGTGTCACACATGGCCATGCCACCCGTGCTAGTATTTGTTTTTAATAATAATAATAATAATAATTACGATGTTTAAAACCTTTTAATATGATAAAGCGTGATTATTTTTCTCTTTGTCATTGCAGTGTAATACAGTTATTCAACAAACTTTGTATAGAGCCGCATCTATAAGTATAGAAATTTTATAGATCTACTTTTGCGAGCAAAGTGCCAAACTTGGCATAACCAGAGGAACCCCACCATCTTCATCTCTTGCTTCATTTTTATATTTTCTCGCCCTTTCCTCTTTCTCTCATCATTCCTTCTTCCTTTTCTGCTTCCTCAACCCTCTCTGCATTTTCATTTTCTGATCTTCGCAATGCAATTCCCTCCATTTTCCTATTTCTTCACTGCCCTTCTTTTCTCCCTCACTCTCACTCTCGCTACACCCGACCTGGATGCTGCCACGGTTCAGTCCATTTTGCCACACCCATCTCCGCCGGCTACTATCCCTGCTTTTCCTGAGCAATCCAATGCTGTCGGCTGCCCTCTCGATTTCTCCGATGAGTTCTTTCAAGGGGTAAAGAGCGCGTGCGGAGCTAACAAGCACGACGCCGACGGGGAGTTACACCGTAGCCGGTGCTGCCCTGTGCTGGCGGCGTGGCTGTACTCTGCCTACTCTGCCACTGCGCTCGGCAGGGTCGGGGGGATGGGCCAAGCATCGAAGGGTCGCAATGCTCATACGACGTCGTATGACATGCCGTTGTTGCCGGATGATTCGGAGACTTGTGTGAGTGACTTGGGGAAGGCTTTGAGAGTGAAGGGGATTGATCTGGTTCAGCCGAATGAGACTTGTGATGTGGTGTACTGCTATTGTGGTATAAGGCTTCATCCTTTGAGCTGCCTTGAGGCGTTTTCAGTGAACCCGGACGGGAAAGTTGTGGAGGATGAGAGTGTGAAAATGCTAGAGAGAAATTGCTTGAGCAGTAGCTCCAATGTCAATAAATTGCCAGGTCTCGGTGGGTGCTCTAAATGCTTGAACAGCCTCTATAAGGTAACTGATTCATTATTTGTCTCCATGCTTTGGTTTCATGCTTTCTGCTTACTACATTATGACTTTGAATTTGATGGATCTTGCTTAAAACTGAAGAAGATGAAGAAGCTGATCTGGGTTTCATTTTTTATTTTCTTCACGCTTGGTAATCGGGAAAGCTATCTTCCCTGTTGCTTTCTTTCACTTTGGACGATGGTTACTTTCTGCAATTCAGTGCAATCCTTGCGCCATCGGAGCTTGTGTTTCACGAACTTGAACATTACTGTTGATGCTAAAGTTTTGCGAGAAAGTTAATCATTGTGTTAAATTACTCAAATTATCTTAAAGGTTTGAAGAAATTATAACTATAATCATATTAATAACTGATCAACCACCTGCAATATTGTTGTTAGAGATGATTATATTGTTCTGTACCGGTCCTATAGCTAATTTCAAGCACATTTTAAAGTGTAAAATAAGCCCCGTTTTTATTATGAAGAACGAGCTTGCTCCTTAAATGCCATAAATGGTATAATCAATTCTCACCCTCTAAGACCGGTGAACAAATAGAACATTTATTCCAGATGACTCATACATTAACCTCAAGGTTAGAAGAAATTATTTTATAATCATATTAATAACTGATCAACTACCTGCAATGCTGTTGCTGGAGATCCTTGTTCCATATTGGTCCTCTTGCTAATTTCAAGCATATTTAGGTTATGATACTTTTATTTTTAATCAGAATATTTGGGATGCAGTACTTGGCTAGCTAGATTATATTTTGAAGTGTAAAATAAGCCAAGTTTTTATTATAAAGAAGAGCTTAGTCCTTAAATGCCATAGACAGTATAAATCATTTCTGACCCTCATAAGACTCGTGACTTCAATTTGTCATCGCTGATGTTCTTGTTTCTTAGCCTTCCCAGCTAGGCATGATGGCTAGTTGAGTAGCAAACAAAAAATTTTATTTCTTTCTGGCACATAGTACCTTACAAATGGCTGCAAATGAGATCCGATCGTCTATCTGATTCCTCTGAAATATTCACCTTATTTACGGACGTTAGTCAGATTTATATTTCCAATTTAGCACGAATTCAGGAGCATTAGATGACAACTGCATCTGTGGATTCTTTTGGCTTTGTTTTTACTGTTTAGGAATTCTAATTTTCAAAAGTTTTGTCCTTTTTTCCTAATCAGCAATATCAACGTATATCTACATATATCAGCATGTATTTATGACCAGAAAAATATCAACATGTACGAAGCCATAATATTCATAAACCATGAACACTGTGGCTCACCTGATCCTCAGACTCCGCATAGATACATAGCTCCACATCAAGTTTATATGTGGAAACAGATGCAATGATTTCAAATCCTCAAATAATTACGAAAGAATAACATAGTTGGCTTTTAGTAAAGGCATTTCATTTGCTGTAGTGTTTTGCTTTAGTACAACACAAACTAATAATGCATGTTGGTTGAAATTCTCCTTTTCTATGCATTCTTTAAATAGTTCTTATCCATGATGTGCGGCATTGACCATTTTTCTATGAGTGGATGTTACACCAACCAAGATGCGCTATTTAACAACCTTTGATGTACCAAATTAAGTTGCTTATCCCACTGTGAGATTCCTTAATTAAAAAGTTACTTCTATGCAGCTTAACAAGAAGACTTCAAATTCAAGCAAATCACAAGACAGGACCACAAAGATTCACAACAAAGATTGCCAGCTTATGGGCCTAACGTGGCTTCTGGCCAAGAACCGATCAGCTTATATCCATACAGTCTCTGGGGTTCTGCGTGCGTTTATGTTGAGCTCAGATGGATCTGATCCAAAATCCTGCACTCTAAACAGTGATGGAATGCCTCTGGCTGTTGATTCCTCTGAATTCTCTGATTCTTCATCAATCAGCCTTCACGCCCCCATCTTTCTTTGCTTCTTGGTTCTCTGTTTGCTTTTACTCATGCAACTTTCTGTACCATCCAACTAACTCAGATCAGAGCAAACAAGATTAATGTCAACCATGACATTGTGCAGAGTTGAATCCCTGTTTTTCGTGCTTGATTTGTTTTTTTGATATCTCAGGCGACTTGGAATTGTAATCTTTAGTGTTATGGTGCTTAATATTCTTGAGTAGTCTGCCTATCATAAGGCTGAGTATATCCATATATATATTTATATACATATGTGTAGAATCTGCAGAATAAGACTGCACTATCTAGGAAATAGGTAATTATTACTTACAACAGGTCAGGCTTGATACAAAATTGATTTATTTATTCAGTTGAATTGTGTTGGGACCAGCATTGGCATGTGCTTAATGGGGACAAGAGACGGAGGGACAAAATCTGCGTGTAGCGTCACTTGTTGAGTGGCATTATTTAGAGACGGTTGTGTGAGCTTCACGGGCGATTCAACTGAGAGTTCTTGTACTGTCTTGCCCTGATAATCATGAGGCTGGACGATAAGTGGATGTTACAATCTGAAGCAGAATTATCACATGGGCAAGGACGTTTCCACAAGTAGAACTCGGAGAATTTTGAAGGAAACAGACAAATCTAACAAGGAACAAATAATCAAAGTCTTTATGCCATTGTAATGCAAGATTTTCAAATAAAAAAAATACTTAACATTCAAATAAAAATAGAAAATAAAAATATAAGGTGTATCTTCTATAAATTTTTTGTTTATTGAGAGAATTAATGATTCTATCTAAAAAAATGTTCTTAACAAATACAAAAAAAAAAGAAAAAAATTACTTGACATCCTGAGTTAGTTGAATTTATTGAATGATCAAAGGGCCTCTTGGATTTTTTTACCCCCAAGCGCATTGAAAATCAAAAGATGCTAGAACAAATTTTCCTCTCTCTTTTTTATTGTTTAAAAATGAAAAAAATATGCGCCCTTTTTCTAAATATAGGGAATAGAACTTACTTTTTGTTTTTTAAAAAAACATAGGGATCAACAATATTTGCAGCATATTTTTATTTTATTTTTTTAGAATAAAAATTGTCACATTTCCTTCCTATTCAATTTTGTGGACTCCGGCTAGAGTACAAGCCAGTTAAAATATTAGAAACCTGTGAAGTCGTCAACCACATAACTTTGGGGTTTTTTTTTTTTAAGGAAGAATTACGCTAAAATTTACACAAAGAAATTAATTGTTATAAAGTGATGATTGTCAATGACCTTAATATAATAATTTTTTTTGTATGAGATCTATATGTAATTCTCTCTTTTTTTATATAAAAAAGTGGAATACAGACACTATAACAAATAATAAGGACCTAGCCCCTTGTCATTAAAAATCGTAAGCACAATCTTTGTTTTCATTTGGCCACTAGATGGTAAATGCAGTTCAAACATTCTTTATATATGATATTAAATTTATAGTAAACAGAGATAAAGAATTTTATAGTTGGTAGGAATTGACCTTCAAATATTCCTTAGATTAATGTCTATAAGAAATATTTGGATCCACATTTTGAAATATTTCTTTGTAGACAACATTAATGGTGGTTGATTTAGGTTGATGACATGAATCATGGATTAGTACTTCTAATCCATGTATACATTCGATTCAAGACATTGCAACATAAAGCTATTCATGAGTAAATACAAGTTGGGGTAAATATAAATTAATATTGGTCAATGATTGATCTTAACTTTTGTTTATGGTCATTATAAAGAAAGTATTATTGAAAATTGCTTTCGTTACTTGACAAAAGGTAAAGTGTATTGTGATGGATTCATGTCCATACGATGCAACAAGACTTCTTGATTTGGATTTGATCCATTTAAGGTAATTGCCTTAAGAACAAGCTTGCCTGGGTAAGTGAGTCAATGGAACGGTTACTTAACTAATACTAACACTCTTAACACGGGAAAAAAAGATTAGGGGCAGTTTTATGGCTTGTTATTGTTTGCTTGGGCCACACCTAGAGGAGCATTCGACCTCATGAAGCTCGTTGGATCTGCGTTGAGCAAACGCAAACTCTAGACCCCAAGTAACTGTTCTTTCACATGCCACGGTCTTCGGCTCTTGTGAGATTGGATGGTTCAATTTTAGCGGTTTTAACTTGTAATTTTTTTTAAAAAAAATATATTTTGAAAAGTGACAGTTAAAAGAATTTCTTTCTTTTTTATATTGTAATTTACCAATAAAAATTATAAAAAAATTAATATTAAATATAGATCATCCAAAATAAATCTGAACATTCAATTTATAAAATTATAAAAGAATTATAATATTAAACTTGAATTATCTAAATTATATCAAGGGTGGTAACTACCGTAATGTTTGCCTGCTTTTTGGGGTTAGGAATAGGTTTTGGGCCCAAAATGCTGATCCAAACAGAGCCTCGAGCCTTTTGTTCCCCCCTTGTATTAGTCTCAAGATCATTTTTCACGCTGTATCAAAGAAAAAAAAGAAGTTTTATTACCAAAAAGAAAAAAGGGAAAAAAAGGTTCATTTTTCACAGGTAGTTTTTTCCCTCAAGTTACTTAAAGGGGCATTTTTGTTTTTTCGCTTACGAAGATATTGACACCGATCAATCCGGACGGCTGAAACGCTTTGATGGGAATCTGATTTCTGAGACTTTTGTCTGATAAAAGTTTTTTTTTTTTGGGGGGGGGGGGGGTTGGTTTGCACAAAAAAGTTTAATGGGGTTTACGGCTGATCAATAGTTTTATAAACAGTAAAATCCCATTAATTTTTTTAAATATTTTTTTATTTGTATAGAAATGGAAAGAATTTGAGAAAATTGTGAGAATATGGGGCCCATAATTACAAAGATAGTTGTGGGGTACATAGTTAAAAAAACATAAGAGTGAAATTAAAAGTAAAAATAAATAATAATAAATAGGGATAATTACATTCAAGAATCACTCAACCAAATTATTCACAAATAAAGATTAATAATAAATCTCGTTTAAGAACAGCAAGTCAGTATTTTTATTTTTAAGAACAGTATATTTCATATTAGTTCTTATTTACGAATAATTTGTTTAATTGGTGATTGGATGTGATTCTCCCTAATAAATTTGAGAGTTGTAATAAAAATGTGAGTATTGATTTGCAGTAACAATAATAAAAAATAGAATAAAATACGAAGCTAAATACAAAGCCAAAATGTTTATACTCAAATTTTAATTTTATGAGTGAATAACATGCCGTAAAATAATAAAGTATTCTTTGTATTTTTAACATAGACATAATAGTTGATGATATATTTTATACGTTTTTTGCATAAAAATTATATCATTAATTTTTTTAAATTTTAGCTTTTAATATTTTTTTATGAATATAGAAAAAATTTACATATAAAAAAAATTATCTTCTAAATATGACGTACTTAATAATGATAAATTAAAAAATTAGACAAAAGTAATAATTTAGCTCATCTCATTAATTATAGTGAGGTGGTTAAATTAAAAGTGACTTGCATATAGAACATGACGAAATGCTATAATATTGTCTGTGCTATTTTCTTAATTTAAAATCAGTATTTAATATATACATAATTTCTATTTATTCTTATTTTTTCCTTAATTGTAATTTATAAATACAATTATAACATACATTATAGTATAGCATTTGTTATCTTACATGTTTTATTTTTCTGAGGATGATGCATGGGCAAACAAATTTTTGAAAAAAATAAGTTAATTATATTTTTTGTCAAAATGTTAATTATATTTTAATTTGCAGGTGGTGAGAAATTTTAAAAAACTATTCATATATTTTTAATATACATAAGATCTTTAAAAAGTTACCCTTATCGTATTGCAAAACAGAAATTATTGCTCAGATTTTAATTTACACGGAACAACTGATGATGGAATCAGAATTGAGGGAAAATTTGTTTCTTCAATTAATTATAGGGGGAGAACTTAATAGGAAGTATATTTTTTTGACTTGATTTCAAAATTTTCCCACATATTAATCAAAGGAAGAATACAAAGAGTGAATGATAATTAGGTTTCAAAATATTGAATTAATGACAGTTAAGTTTTTGATAATTTTTTAAAAAAACTAGTTAAAAATATCAATTCAAATAATTATAAGTTCAGAAGTTTCAATTACAGATAATTATGTAAGTATAAAATATAACTCTTATATTGTAATAGAAATTTTTATTTGTAACTATTTGAATTAATATTTATAATTTATTTTGTAAAAAATTTTATTGAAGACCTAATTGTCATTAATTTAATATATGAAAACCTAACTATTATTTTCTCAAATACAAATATCTCATGGGTTAATTCACTTTAAGATGAAATAAATAATTATTTTATCTTTAATATATATTTATATATGGGCAAAACTATTTCTAATACAGAATAAATTATTTTTTATATTTAATTTTATTTTTATCTTTTAATATTAAAATATATCGTGCATTGCATGGGCAACAAATCTGGTTTCTCAAGATTTACAATCAAGTTCCAGTTAAAAAAATTAATTATTTTTTTCCCTCCATTGTGACTTATATATAATTCTCAACTTTTTTTTTTTTTTTTTCACTTGTTCACTGGATCGGACATGAAACTATCAAGGATCAACCCAACTAGTGTCCCCTCCTGACATGCCAGGTCATTGATACAATGCTTGCTAAAGAAATAAGCTCATTGCCATGAACACACACACACACACGCGTTTTGATCGATTCATGTTTCTCTTATTCATATTTTTCAACTACCGTAATTAAAAGACTAAATGTCTTATTTTCAGTTACCTAAACCGTTTAGACAGCAGAACATGATGGGATGTCTTGTTTTCCAGCCATTCAATATCATTTGGGGAACATATATTGAGCCAATCAATGTACGGTTTAAAACTCAACATTACATCTTTCTTTTGGGGGGGGGGTGTGATTAGATTTTAATTGACAAAAATGATTAATAAAATTTCATGATGTTTAGATAATTTTTTTGTAATTGATATTGATAGTTAAAAATGTTTGAGTAATTTTTTAGACTCAATTATAAAAACGAAGAAAATAAAAAATATTCAAATGATGAGAATTGATTCTCAAATGGAGAAAAAAATAGCTTATGTCAAATAAAATTTCAGAAGTATAGAAAAATTGAAGGTGTTTGGATGATATTTTCCAAAATGATGATTTTGGACCTAGAATTAATTTTGGATGTGTATAGAAATAGGCCCTTAAGAATTAAAACTTCAATATTCTTACTTTTAGTCTGAATTGATCTTTAATTACAATGACACCAACCATGACAAAACACATTTAGCCTTATGAGGAGAGTTTTTGATATAAGTCGAAATGAAAGAAAAAGT